CAGGTGGGCCCTCCCCCGCCTCCCGAGGGAGGGGGGCTGCGGCCTGGCCCAGCCTGAGCGGCTCCATCCCGTGTCCCTCCCACAGCTGGACTCCTACCTGCTCTGCATGTCCTACCAAGAGCCCCAGCTCTGGGCTGGTGACAACCAGGGTCTGCTGCACGTCTTCGCCAACCGGGACGGCTGCTTCCAACTTGTCCGGGTCTGCCAGGGCCTTTGCCCCTGCCCCCTCCTTCCTCAGCCTCCTCCCTACCCCTAGACCCCCCGTGGCGATGGGTGGCTAGCCTGAGGAGAGCCTCGCCTGAGTGTCACCTGTCCCTCCTCCCTGCAGTCCTTCGATGTGGGCCACAGGTCTCAGATCACAGGGATCAAACACTCGCTGGGGGCCTTGTACACCACGTCCACTGACAAGACCATCCGGGTGAGGCCCCATGACAAGCCCCCTCCCACGCCGCCCCCACTGGCAGGGGGCACACCTCTTGACCTTCGTCTGTTGCCCGTCACCAGGTACACGTGCCCACAGACCCACCACGGACCATCTGCACCCGAAGCCACGACAACGTGCTGAATGGGGTAAGGCCCTACGCCACGTGCCCTGCCCCACATGCCCTGCTGGTTGCCGAGGGCACCCCTGAGTCTTCATCTCCCTGCCCAGATCTGTGCTGAGGGCAACCTGGTGGTGGCCGCCTCTGGGGGCCTGTCGCTGGAAGTCTGGAGGCTCCAGGCCTGAGCAGGCAGACATGGATATGGATGTGGATCTGCTGGCCGGCAGGCTGGGTCAAGGCCTCTGTTCTCGGGGCGGGGGGGGCCCTCCCTTTTCTGGTGCTGCCCTGGGCTCAGGCCTGGGGCACAAGGACTCCAGGCCACCATTGGGCAGGGTCCCTGGTCTGTGCTCCACGTTCCAGCCCACCCTCAGGTCCTGTTTACGATTGGACGCCTGCTTTCCCTTGAGAGCGAAGGGGAAATAAACCTGATGTACTGGTGCTGTGGCCTGGAGTGGTGCCTGCTGGGGGCTGGGACGCTGGGGATGCCCCCAAAGTCATCGCCATCCACCCAACCGCCCTGGCCTCTGCTGTGTATGTCTGGGCGCGCCTGTGTCCACCCAAGTGCATTCCTGGGATCGTGTGTGTCTGTGCATCGCCAGGGAGGCGAGGTAGCTGGCTGTGTGTGATGTCACTGTAACCCCGTCTGTGACTGTCTGCATGCCCGTGAGTGTGCACGTGTGAGGAAGAGGGAGATTCTGGAGGATGTGGGCACCTGTCTGTGTGATGACACCTGTGTGTGTGTGTGTGTGTGTGTGTGTGTGTGTGTGAGAGAGACGTGTATGTATGCAGTGTGCAATGGCGTGTAGAAAGGCTGAATGTGTTGTCACTGTAACCCCGTCTGTGACTGTCTGCATGCCCGTGAGTGTGCACGTGTGAGGAAGAGGGAGATTCTGGAGGATGTGGGCACCTGTCTGTGTGATGACACCTGTGTGTGTGTGTGTGTGTGTGTGTGTGTGTGTGTGTGTGAGAGAGACGTGTATGTATGCAGTGTGCAATGGCGTGTAGAAAGGGACTGTCCCTGAATGTGTTTGTGCAGAGGGAGAGGGGACCTGCTAGGGCTAGCCCATAGGTGTGTGCTCTTCTGTCCAGAGTCCAGGGGGTGTGCCCCTGTGGCAGTGACCCCGGAGTGGGCCGGGGAGGGGGCTGGGCCAGTGCCCCTGCAAGCCTGCAGCTCCCCACTGCCCCCCATTGCCCCTCACCAAGCCCTGTGGAGCATTTACTTCATGTTTATTGAGGGGGCCTCGGGGCCAGTATCATAGGATGGCGCAAGGCTTCTTCTCCTTGAAGGGGTTGGTGGCAGCAGGGATGCCCACCAGGAACGGGTCGCTCTTGGCCTGCTCCATGCAGAACTGCAGCAGGTCAGCGGCTGCCTTGGACACCTGCAGGCCAGCTCAGTCAGCCAGACCTTGGCTGTCCCTCTGTCCCCTCGCCCAGGCGTGCCCATCTGGCCTCAGCCTCACCTTTATGCGGTCGATGCCAGCCTCCATCCTCAGCTGCTCCACGGCCTGGCGGGCCTGCCCGATGTCGCAGCCAATGGCCTCCTTGCTGGACATCTGGGGGAGGGGGAGAAGGGCCATAGGAAGCAGGCTGAACCCAGACCTGGAGTCCTAGGCCACGCGAGGGTCCCTGCACCTCTCCTGGTGTCCCCTGAGAACTGTGGGATAGGGGTGGATGCTCCCCACCCATCAGAACCACATACCTCAGCTGAGGACTCTGGCCGACTCCTGGCTGCTCAGTTCTCCTGTGGCCCTGCTCTGCCTCTCTCCCTCACCCCCCACCCCGACCTGGCCTCTCCAGTCCCCTCCTCCCTGACCCCTGCAGAGACTTTGAAGCCAGGACACTCACGGAGTGAAATGTCACCAGTGACAGCAGCAGCAGCTGCCTCAGCCAAGGGGCTCCCTGCCCCAGGAGGCCTGGTGGGCACCCTGTGGTCTTGCGTTACCTTGGCAGAGGGAGTGTGTGGCCTTGGCCTGTCACTGATCTGCTTAATCCCCTGCTAACTGGCCCCAACACCCCTCTTTTACCAGCCTCTGTACCCCAGTGTGCAGTGCCCCCAGGCTCGGGTGCATCCCTGCCTCTCCTCTCCATCTACACTCTCTGTTCCAGGATCCACAACATGGATGCCTCAGTCCACGGCTTATGCTGATGGCTTCCTTTGCCCCAACCCAGCCCTGCCCTGACCTCGATCCCCCTGAGGACCCTCCAGTCTCCTTGGTCCATCCCACCCATCGCTCCGGTGTCTCTCACCTAAGTAGGCCAAGGCTGGATTCTGGATTGCCTTCTCCCCAGACCCTCTGCCCCCAGATTCACCACCATCCACCAAACTGCCCTGGCCCAAATCTCAAACTCCTTTATTCCTCTCTTTCCGGTATCCCCACCTCTAATCCCTTCTCAAGTCCCAGCCAATTAACCTTCAAATTAGGTCCTGAATCTGGTCACTTCTCTCCACCACCACATGGGTCCCATCTCCACCCTTGCTCACTTGGACCAGTCCACCCTGGTCCACCCCCACCCCCGCCACTATTCTCAAGGCAGCCAGTGGGAAATGTTAAAAAGCAAATCAGAATAACATGGATGAACCAACCTCGAGGACATTATGCTGAGTGAAATAAGCCAGTCACAAATGGACATACGATTCCATGCATGTGAGGTCCCTAGAGGAATCAAATTTATAGAGACAGAACGTAAGATGGTAGGCACTAGGGGCTGGGGTAGGGGAATGGGGAGCTGGTGTTTAATATGGACAGAGCTTGGGAAGATAAAAACGTTCTGGAGATGGATAGTGCTTGCAACTGTTTGCATAACCATGTGATGTGCTTAATGCTGCTGACCTATACACTAAAAATGGTTAAGATGGTGAGTCTTATTTTTAGTCTCTCACTTCCTTTTTTAAAAAAGATTTTAAATTGATTTTGAGAGAAAGAGGAAAGGAGAGGGAGAGGGAAACATTGATGTAAGAGTGAAACATCAATTGGCTGCCTCCTGCATGCCCCCTACTGGGGATGGAGCCTGGAAACCTGGGCATGTGCCTTGACCAGGAATTGAACCGGCAACCTTGTGAATGGGATGACATGCAACCAACTGGCCACAATGGCCAGGGCCCTCCCTTCCTTTTTAAAACTCTCCAGTGGTTTCTCAGCCTCTAAGAATAAAACCCACCTTCCTTACTACAGCCCATAGGCTCCTGCCTGGTCTGGCACCTCCTGCCCACTCTGAATTCATTTACCAACTTCTTCCTCCTTCATTCCTCATGGATCATGCTGATGCCCTTGTATGTGTTCATTCGTTCATCCATTCATTCATTCATTCATTCATTCAGTATCTTTGCTGAGATCCCAATATGAGTCCAACACTGCTTAGGGCAGTGGTTCTCAACCTTGGCTGCACATTAGATTCACCTGGGAATCTTTTTAAAATCCTGATTTCTGGGCCTCATCCTCTGGAAATTCTGTTTCTTTGTTACGGGGTGGGGCCACAACATTAGTAAAGAAACAGAATTTCCGGAGGACGAGGCCCAGAAATCAGGATTTTAAAAAGATTCCCAGGTGATTCTAATGTGCAGCCAAGGTTGAGAACCACCGGCTTAGGGTAAGGGGCTCAGCAGTGAAACCAGACAAAATCCTGCATTCACGGACTTGCGAGGTACGGACAAGGATCAATACCCATTGGATAAGAGATGCTCAGTGGCAGAAACTGACAGTTCCCGATGACTTGAATTCTGTCCAAGGGGACGTTTAAGAAGCCATTCTCACCCTGACCGGTTTGGCTCAGTGGATAGAGCGTCGGCCTTCGGACTCAAGGGTCCCAGGTTCGATTCCAGTCAAGGGCATGTACCTTGGTTGCGGGCACATACCCAGTAGGAAGTGTGCAGGAGGCAGCTGATCGATGTTTCTCTCTCATCGATGTTTCTAACTCTCTATCCCTCTCCCTTCCTCTCTGTAAAAAATCAATAAAAAAAAAAAAAGAAGAAGCCATTCTCTCACTCCAGGGGACAGAAACCAAAGGACAGGCGCCCCGCAACGCGGTGTGCCTCCACTAGGCGGCAGAGTTCTCCTTCCTGTGAGGCGCGTCGCGAAAAGGAATAAGGGCTCTAAGCGGCTTCCGTATTTCGCAACAGGCCACGCCCCGGACTAGGGGCCTCGAAGACGGCCATGTGACTAAACAACTTCCGGTCTCCCTCTCCCGTTTTTTCCGAGCCCTGTTTGCTGTGCTCTTGTGGAGAAGCGCGTGCCAGGTACAGCGTTTGCGGCCCCTGAAGGCTGGCGTGGGACTGCTCTGATCCGAGCGCGGCGGCGGAGCATGGAGTTTAGGCTTCAGCACAGCTCGGCGCTGCCGTCCGAGAGCGCCCAGGTCCGGGGCTACGACTTCAACCGTGGCGTGGACTACCGCGCGATGCTGGAAGCCTTCGGCACCACTGGTTTCCAGGCCACCAACTTCGGGCGCGCGGTGCACCAAATCAATGCCATGGTGAGGCGGGGGCGTGGCCTCTAGTGGCACCAACGCAGTGCAGTTCGTGAAGGGGGCGGGGCTTACCTGAGAAAGAGGCGTGTCCTTCGTAGGGGCGGCCCAATAGTTGGAGAGGTGGGCTATACCGGGGTTGGAGTTTCTGTGTTAAAGAGAGGAAGTTGCCCCCCCCCCCAGCAGCGATACCCTAACATCAATAAGGGGCGGGGACTGACCCTAGGTAGAGGGCGGCTTATAGTCTGTCTATTTTCTGAAGTGGAAGGAGCCTAGGGCTAGACCGTGGCCTGGGAGGAGGAATTGGAAGAGCCTAAGTCAGGGCAGGGCCTTGGATTTGCTCCTCCCAGCGGAAAGGCGGCTGAATCCTGCAAAGATGCTCCGATTCCCGAGTGAGGCAAAGCGAGGGTGTGCCGCAGAGCCAACCTGTGAAAGGGGCGGAGTTGCACTCCCTCCCCTGGTTCCTGGTATAAGTGCTCCTCTTTCCGAGTGGGCAGGGCTTGGGAGCGGAGTGTAATCCTGAAAACCACTGGCGTCCTTGGGCTGGAGTTCGGGTTCAGAGGTTAATTTGACTCCTCTCTCGCACACAGATAGAGAAGAAGCTGGAACCTCTGCCGCAGGATGAAGACCAGCACGAAGACCTGACCCAGAGCCGCCGCCCACTCACCGGCTGCACCATTTTCCTGGGCTACACGTCCAACCTCATCAGTTCAGGCATTCGTGAGACTATCCGCTATCTTGTGCAGCACAACATGGTGAGGAGCTGATGGGATGGGCTGTGGCCTTGACCTCTCTGGGTCTCAGTGGGCAATAAGATTACTGGTATTTTAGTAAGATAGACATGGGCCAATTCTAAGCAGAGGGACAGGATTGAGTTTTGTTTTGCAGCAGACATTCCTGTAAAGTTACTAGGTGAGGGTTGGGAGTTAGGAGCCCTGCCCAGAATGAGGGCAGGGTCCTCCTATCTGGGCCAACCTCATTGCCTGTGGCTGCAGGTGGATGTCCTGGTTACTACGGCTGGGGGCGTGGAGGAGGATCTCATCAAGTGCCTGGCACCCACATACCTGGGCGAGTTCAGCCTCAGGGGGAAGGAGCTACGCGAGAATGGGATTAACAGGTGGGGGGCCTAAGTGGTGTTGGGCAGGGGAGCTGGACTGAGGGTCCTGGGGCCTGATGCCTATCTGCCTCCTGTCTCCAGGATTGGGAACCTGCTGGTGCCCAATGACAATTACTGCAAGTTTGAGGACTGGCTAATGCCCATTCTGGACCAGATGGTGCTGGAGCAGAACACAGAGGTGGGGCTGGGACAACCTGGGGGGCTAGCATGGTGGCAGTAAGGGAAGGCACCATTGGCTGAAGCTGATGTCCCCTCCCAGGGTGTGAAGTGGACGCCTTCCAAGATGATTGCCCGCCTCGGCAAGGAGATCAACCACCCAGAGTCAGTGTATTACTGGGCCCAGAAGGTGAGGGGCTGGACTCGTTTCATCTTCACAGTCGCCTAGGGAGTCAGTGCTGTTCTCATCACCTGCACTTAGATGAGGAATTTCAGACACAGGCTCGGCAGCTTTTCTGAGGTCACGCAGCTATTGAGTGTGGTCCTCATATCCTAGCTCTACTCCTACACCACCTGGGAGCAGTTGGGGCAGTGCTAGGGCCCCTGCTCCTCAGAGGCTATGACGTCCAGCAGTGGGAACAATAACAGCCTGCCATTCTCTATGTGCTGGGCATGGGCCTAAGTGTTTTGGGTGGGTTTTCTTATAAATGCTTCCTCGTCTGTGAGGGAGGTACTGTTACTATCATTTTACAGTCAAGGAAACTGAGGCCCAGAAAAGTTAAACCCCATGCCCAGAATCGGGCAGAGAGGGAATGCTGCCAGAATGGGGACCAGCCTATCCCCACCAGGATCTGACTCCTGCTGCTGTCCTGTCCTGCACTCCCCCAGAACCACATCCCCGTACTGAGCCCGGCACTCACAGATGGCTCGCTGGGCGACATGATCTTTTTCCATTCCTACAAGAACCCGGGTCTGGTCTTGGACATCGTGGAGGGTGAGGTGTGGGGGCCAGAGGAGTCGGGGAGGAGGGCTGGCTGGGCCCAGGGCCTGATCACAGTTCTCTTCCCCAGATCTGAGGCTCATCAACACACAGGCCATCTTTGCCAAGCGCTCTGGCATGATCATCCTGGGTGGGGGTTTGATCAAGCACCACATCGCAAATGCCAACCTCATGGTGAGTGGGGATGGAGCACCTGGTCCCTAGTGTGGGGGTGGCACTTGGGTCTGCCATGTAGCGATGTCTGTGTGCTAGGCCTAGGCCCCATGCTGCAGACACAGCCATGGACAGGCCAGGATCCCTGCCTTCCTGGGACTGATGTTTTAGTTGGGGAGACAGTAAGTTAGGTGGCAGTCATTGCCATGGAGAAAAATGAGGGATGACAAGATGGTAATAAAAAGGTACACTGTACCAAAAAGAGAAGCCTTTCTGGGAAATGTGACCTGTGAATAGAGCAAATTTAGTAGATGTCTCCCTGGAGCCATGTGGTTGCCTTGAGGAAGAGGTCCCAGCAGAGGGAACAGCCAGTGTAAAGGCTCTGAGGTGGCTGAAATAAGTTAGGAACAGCTGGGAGGCCTGTGAAGGGGGGAGAGTTGGAGGTGTGAGGCCAGACTTGCAGGGCCTTGAGGGCTGTGACTCAGGTGCTCACAGGTGCCCTCTGGCTGCTGCAGGGGGAACAACTAGGGCCAGCACCAGGGTAGGGACCAAGGCAGGGAAGAAGTGGTTGGGTTCAGAGGTTTTCTAGAGTTGGTGAGCCCTGACCGGTTTGGCTCAGTGGATAGATTGTCGGCCCCTGTGGACTGAAGGGTCCCAGGTTCGATTCCGGTCAAGGGCATGTACCTTGGTTTCGGGCACATCCCCAGTAAGGGGTGTGCAGGAGGCAGCTGATCGATGTTTCTCTCTCATCGATGTTTCTACCTCTGTAAAAAAATCAATAAAATATATTAAAAAATAAATAAAGATAGAGTTGGTGGCAGATGTGAGAGGGTTATTGCTCTCTAGGAGGTTTTTTTTTTTTTTTAAATACATTTTATTGATTTTTTACAGCGAGGAAGGGAGAGGGATAGAAAGTTAGAAACATCGATGAGAGAAACATCGATCAGCTGCCTCCTGCACACCCCCCACTGAGGATATGCCCGAAACCAAGGTACATGCCCTTGACTGGAATCGAACCCGGGACCCTTCAGTCCGCAGGCCGACACTCTATCCACTGAGCCAAACCGGTCAGGGCTCTAGGAGGTTGTTTTGGGGCAATACTACCTATCATTTGCCCAGTAACTCTCCAACCCCTAACTGCCCAGCATTGATGTAGGACCCATCCCTTGCAGAGAGGGGCCACCAAGGGGCCCTCCTTTATCTAGGACACATGGCTCAGCTTCTCTAGCTGCAGTGCCCTGCCTCTATATGTGTGTGTCTGTCTGTCTCCCCGCCCGCAGCGGAATGGGGCTGACTATGCTGTCTACATCAACACGGCCCAGGAGTTTGATGGCTCTGACTCTGGTGCCCGGCCGGACGAAGCTGTCTCTTGGGGCAAGATCAAGATGGATGCAGAGCCTGTCAAGGTGAGGGCCAGCCAGCCTGCTGGGGTGTAGGGTCTCCCAAGCTCTAGCTCTGGGTCCTGTGGTTACCTGGGTCCCCTCCACAGGTCTATGCTGATGCCTCCCTGGTCTTCCCCTTGCTTGTGGCTGAAACCTTTGCCCAGAAGGTAGATGCCTTCATGCCTGAGAAGAACAAAGACTGACAGCGGTGGCCCTCCCCCTATTTATTTGTTTTCAGACCCGGCCCCTCCCCCACTCCTTGGTCAGTAGCACATCTGGAATAAATGGTCTCAGTGGTCCAGAGTCTGCATCTGTGTCCTTAGTGGTGGTGGGTCCCCTGGCCTCAACCTGTGCCACCCTCAGTCTCGTAGGCCTCTTCCCGCCAGCAATGGATGCTGCCCCCCATGGCAGTCAGCAGGCAGGGCTCTGTGGGGTGGTAGGCCAGTGACTGCACCACACCAGGACCTACCTGCAGGGCAAGGGCCAGGACACCCTGTGGAACAAGGAGGGAGGGGGGGAGCAGTTATCAGTGAGCCTCCCATCCCCTGACCTTCAGCCATCTGCTTCTAATGGCTTTCCAGTCACTGCAAAACTAGGCTGCCCAAAAATGAGCCTCTCAGTGGCTCCGTCCTTCCAGGTGTTCAAGCCAAAACCTTGGGAGTCTTTTTCACACCTCACATCCCTTTATCTGTAAATCCTCTTGGTTCTGCCTTTAGACCAGCAGTGGTCCGTGAGGTCCGAAAGGTTGGCGACCACTGCTTTAGACTATACTCAGAGGCCACCACCCCGCTCTGAGCCGTTATGTCTGGCTTTCAGCTGCCCTCTCCCTGTCGCCATAGGGGCTCTACAGGTCTACTTGACAGCATCAGTGTTTGCACTTCCTTCATCAACCTACAGACACAGCAGCTCCACACATACGGTTTCTCAAGGAGGCCCCGGTTCCTCTTTCCCTTGAAATGTCCCCTTCCTTCAATGTGACCTCTGCTCTATCAGATCCTCAAGAAGTAGGCAGAATATTGGCTCCTTCTTAGTCCCCCTCAAGTTCCCAAGGTCCCCCAGTTCCCTCCATCCTCTTAAGGGACTGACTTCCCTGGCCAAGCCCCAGTACCCACATCTTCTTCCATGAGACTCTCCAGCCCTGAATCCCCTAAGCCCAGCCTGTCTGTTCTCAGCCTGATGCCGCCACCAGGCTGGGACACATCAGGATACGGCTCACAGGGCTTGGGGCCAGAAACCACAGGGATGCTCAGAAGTAGCTCAGGTTTCCTGAACAACTACAGCCTCATCTCCCCCAGGGTTAGATGTCGCCGTTGGTTCCCCCACCCTCAAGGTCAGTCCCAGTGGCTCAGCCTGGCATTGGTGGCCCTGCCTGATGTGGCTCCTGCTGCTGCCACTGCCATCCTGAAGTGCTGCTGTTTCCTGACCATCGCGTGCCACACTTAGAAGCCTTAGCACATACTGTTCCCTTTGCTGGAATGCCTTTCCTGCCCTCTCCTTCTAGCCATTGTTCTAATAGCACTCCCTTTTCCCGGTCTGGGAATGACTGAGGTAAAGGCAAAGTGGGGACAGTGCAGTGTGGGGGTGGAGAGGCTCACCTCCACCAGGTCCCAAAAGAACACCTTCCCATCCTCGGAGCAGCTGACTACATGCGTGTCACGCTCACTCAGGCAGCAGTCCAGCTTGTACTCCTGGTTCTTATGGCCTGTGTACCTGGGGGTGGATGGAATCAGTGGGGCTCGGGCCTTACCAGGGGCAAAGGCGAGGGGAAGGGGAGGGGCCCCACAACCCCAAGGACTCACTCCCCTAGCAGCTCCCCTGTGTCCTTGTCTAGAAGCCTCAACGTGGAGTCCAGGCTGGACACCAGGGTGCACTGGCCATCCCGGCTGAAGCAGGTGCAAGTGATGGGGCCTGGGGGGAGGGGAGAGGTGGATAGGCAGGTGGGCTGGGGCCCCTTTTGCTGCCTCTGCCTCCCCTGCCTGCCCCACAGCCTGGCCACACTCACTGCCCACGTAGTCTGAGAAGAGTTGTCCCATCCTCAGGTCATAGCGCCTGACCCGGCCGTCCACGGAGCTGCAAGAGAGGGTGGATCCGATTAAAGTTTCCACTGGTGCCAGTGGCTCCATGGCTCTAGGTAACCTGTGTCCCTCTACACTTGCACTTGGTCAGGGCCCTCAGGACAAGGCTGAGCCCATCCTTTCTATGCACCCCTCACTGTCATACTCCCGTCTCAGGGCTAGCCAGTTTTCTCAGTGTTGAACTGTGGACTAAAGGGTCGAGAGTTCAATTCTGGATCAAGGTTCATACCTCAGTTGTAGTTCCCCAGCCCTGGTAAGGGTGAGTTCAGAAGGCAACCAATCAATGTATCTCACATCGATGTTTTTCTCTGTCTCTCCTCCCTCCCACCCTCTAAAAATCAATGGGAAACATATCCTTGGGTGAGGATTAACAAAAAGGAAAAAAAGAAAACATGCACTGAAGTGAATTCATGAGGGGAATTCTGAGGCACTGTCTTTGAGACCCAGACCCAGGGACCATTAGGAACAACGCAATTCGTTTCTGATAGGCACCGAGCATCCTCTCTGGGCCAGATTCTATAGCAGGAAAGGATGGCTTGGGACACAGCTTCGACCAAGCCAGGAAACATTTCTGGAGCCTCACTGACTGAGGGTAATATAGGAAGTCCTTCCCAAGGTGACATCTGAACTGGGACTTGAAGGACAAGAAGGAGCCAACCTTGTGGGAATGGCCAGTCAACAGGCTGGACAGTCCACACTCCCTCCACGGTGGGAGTGGCACTCTCGGTCTGTGGTGCAACACGTGAGCAGCTCTGCATGGGAATTTTTTCTTTTTTAAATATCAACTCTGTGGGCAGGAATTTTTTCCTTATTTCCCTTATTCACTGCTACATGCTCATTGCCTAAAAAAGTGGCCCCTGGGAGGTGCTCAAAAACACTTGCAGTAAATAGTAGAAAGGCAGTCCAGGCAGAGGAAGAGCAGCTGCAAAGCACGCTTGGCATATTTCCCTGAAACGAGGCTGGAAATCATAGAAGCTGAGAGGTCAGCAAGGACCAGACTGTGCGGGGTCTTGGGAGGCAGTGAGGAGAGTAGACTTAAGCACAGAGGCAGCTGTGATAGGCAGTGGAACCGGGGAGGGGCAATGGTCTAGCTCCACTCACCCTGCCAGGACCTCATGGTCTGACACCTTCACACTGGATACACCATCCTTGGCTTCGTCCAGCTTCTGCACTGGGTCCGGCCTCCGAGAGCGGCAGTCCCAGCAGCGGATGGTGGAATCGATAGAGCCTGTGAGGCCAGCAGGAAGGTGGGGTCAGGTTTTGGGGGCAGGGGCTCCCCTGGGCGCCCCTGCCTAGGCCAGGCACTCACCTGACAGGATGACTGTGGCCTCTTCATTAAACTGCACCGTATTCACCTTCTGAGAAACAGGACTACCACTCAGAGGTGGCCGGTCTTTGAAGGATTGGGATAAAGACCGGGTTTCCAGTGCAGATTAAAGTGAGGACAAAAGCTAGGGGTAGGGGAGGTGAAAGGTTTTGAGGGTACTGCAAGCAAGGGGCCTGTGAATGCGCTGTAATATGTGTGTGGTAGGGTACCTGTCACCCCTGCACACTAATGCGGGTCCCCTCCGCTATCCACGCTCTAAATGAGGCTTCTTTCTGCTTGTACTCACCCCTGCGTGACCCCGGAATTTACGCACGACCTGCCCGGAGGCCACATCCCACAGCACCACCGCCTTGTCCCCGCCGCAGGAGCAGAGATTGCTGTTGTCAAAGGAACTAGGGGGCAGGGGAGGGAAGGTCAGCATCGACCTGGGATCCCCGCCTCAATGCCCCTTTCCCGGCCTGGTCCCGGCTCACCCGGCCGCGTCCAGCACCTCGTAGCCGTGGCCGCTGTACGTCCGCAGCAGCGTCCCCCGCAGCGGGTTCCACAGCTTCAGGGTCTTGTCGCTGCCGCACGTCAGGCAGTAATTGCCGTCCACTTGGGAAGACCAGGCGGGGGTTACCGGGCTGCCGACCTCGAGAGGACACAGGCCGACCCGGAATGAAGACGAGGGCGCTCACCATTAAATCGCACGGCTCGCACCGCTCCCTGCCCGCAGTCCAGCGTCTTCAACCGTTTCTGCGGCAGCACCGGGCCACGCGGCTTGGGCTCAGGGAAAGACATGGCTCCGAGATGCCTTCCTCGCCGCCTTCCATCGGTCTGTACCGAAGTTTCCGAGCGTCTCTCGCTTGGTGCAACCTTATTACTGTCCCTGCGGTCTACTTCCGGTTCCCCACTTCCGGGCTCAGTTTCGGCTTTTTGGAGGTAATGTTGGAAAATACAATTGCTGCAGGCTGCCTCTAGGTTCCAGGTTTCTCCCTTCACTACCTGCCCCCCCCGCCGCTAGGTACGGAAGCGCGAGGGCTGCGGGTGTGACTGTAAAAAGCACCGTCGGTTTCCACGCCGGAAGGGGCCACTCCGGCGGCGGAAGAGGGGCGTCCCCGACTCACTATGTCCACGAACAACATGTCGGACCCGCGGAGGCCGAACAAAGTGCTGAGGTAGGGACCCCGGCGTCATGGGAACGAGGCTCGGACTGTGGGTCGGGGCCATAGGGAAGCACTTGTCCATCCGGGGGCGGGACGTGAGTGCCCCTGACCCTCAATCCCGCCGCAGGTACAAGCCTCCGCCGAGCGAGTGTAACCCGGCCTTGGACGACCCGACGCCGGACTACATGAACCTGCTCGGCATGATCTTCAGCATGTGCGGCCTCATGCTGAAGGTGGGCAGGGCTGCGTGTCTCTGCTGGGCTCCCAGGCCAGGGGCGGGTTCGGAATGAAGCGGGGCCGGCGCTGAGGGGCGGGGCTGGGCTGACGTTGGACGGAGGAAGCCAAAGCCATCAGGGAGTCAGGAATCCGGGTCAGGGTGGGTGTGTGGGAGGTTGGTGTGAGGATGGGGCCAGACTGTACAGCCACTTGGAGGGGATGGTGGAGAAAGCGGGGTCATGAGCAGGACGGGCTATGTCGAAGTCTTGCCTTTTTAGGTCTGAGGGTGGGGTCAGAGGCCCTGGCCAGGGGGTAGGGCCAGCAACTCCGTACCTGGAGGAGGCTCTGGGTGGATGAGACTTACGGGGGGGACGAGGTTTACGCTGCCCCAGTTGAAACCAGGGGGTGGGAACCGGTGCCTAGGAATGCCCCTTGTCTTCCACTGACCTAACCCACCCATCTACCTACCTTTCCCCAGCTGAAGTGGTGCGCTTGGGTTGCTGTCTACTGCTCCTTCATCAGCTTCGCCAACTCCCGGAGCTCTGAAGACACTAAGCAGATGATGAGTAGCTTCATGTGAGGCTGGGCCTGGAGAAGGAGGGACTCCTAAGTAAGTGGGGGAGGACCCAAGCCTTCCCATCTTGACTGACACCTTTCTCCCGTCTCACTCAGGCTGTCCATCTCTGCCGTGGTGATGTCGTATCTTCAGAACCCTCAGCCCATGACACCCCCTTGGTGACTGATGTCAGCCTAGAGGGGTCACATCCTGGACCTCTCTATACACCTCCCTCCAGGGCTGGTCCTTAGCCGCTCAGCCTCCTGCCCTGCCCGCAGCTGCTGGCTGCCCTGGGTGAGGTAGTCGCAGGGGCCCCCAGCTGGATGGAAGGAACTTGGACCTTTCCCTGGGGTTCCACTTCTACTGGGGCAGGGAGGGGAAAACCCTAAATAGACTCCTGCCCTCCTTCCCCACCCTGGGTGCTGCTGGGGGAGAGCTGTCCATGTTTCTAGATATAAACACTCATTTTCTTGTTGAAACCAGTTCGTAATAAAGATTTGCACTCTGGCTGTTCTCTGAGATCTCTCCTTCTGTGCACTGCGGATGCTCTCCTGGAAGGGCTCCAGGTCCTCCACTTCCTCAGGCCTGGGGTGAGGCCCGTCTGGAGCCTTCTGCTTCACTTGCTTATTCACAGCCTTCATGCCTTAAGTCAGCTGCCGGAGACAGGACAGTGACCTTGCTGACCTGAGGAATCTGGGCTTTGGTTTTCTTTTTGTTGTTGTTTGTTGTCAATCCTCACCCCAGGATATTTTTCCATTGATCTTTTGAGAGAGTGGAAGGGAGAAGGAGAAACAGAGAGAGAGAAACATCAATGTGAGATTGGGGGCAAGACTGCAACTGAGGTACGTGCCCTTGACCAGAATCGAAACTGGGCCCCCTCAGTCCGCAGGCCGATGCTCCATCCACTGAGCCAAACCGGCTAGGGCAGGGCTTTGATTTTCTTATCAAAGGAGTGAGATAATGTCATTGAACTAGATGGACTGATAGGGAATTGGAAAGACATGAAAGACTCTTCCCCTAGAGGGGAAGAGACTGTTGTTCCATGACTTGACTGCTGTAGGACCTGAGAGCCAACCTGGACCAGAACCGGGAGATTGCTTAGTAAACCC